GTGGTGGAATGTTGCTTCCGTGCGTTTGAGCAGCTCTGCTCCTGTGGGTCCATAAATAAACTGTCTTATCTGTTTTATCCATGTTTTTAACTTCAGTTCCTGTCACCTGCACTTTGTCTCTCTCGGGATACAGCTTTATCTTTTAAAAAAATTTCAAGTTATTAACTGAAAAGATGACTCAGATTAAAATTACTCTTCCACCCTCTCATGTTTCTGAAGTGGTTCCACACTTTTAGCTTGTTTATTTCGGTCTGACTCAGATGATGAGTTTGCAAACTTGTGTTTTGGTTCCTTTCACAAACAGAAAACTCAAAGTGAACCAAAATGCATCACTAAGAACCTGAGTGCATCAGTCTGGGTTGGATTATGATTTGAATCACGTTCCCAGCATAAATGAACTGTTCTGGAGATCATCTGCAGCCAAACTTAGAACTCCTTTTTAAAAGGTGCGGTTGTTTTTGTTCCTCACCAAAGTTCGCACTGTGTTCATGTTGGCAAAAAACAAACCCCATCAAGAGGCGGTGAAACCAGAGCTTGATTCAAATGGACTAAACAGGACGTGTGAAACAGGCCCTGCTCTTTATTTGATGACAGCTTTTTCTCATTCACTTGCATGCTTAATGGTCAGCAGCTACTCTGGAAGTGAAAACTCATCCCAGAGCTCAGGGTCACACTCAGAACAGAGCGATCCCTGACAGAACTGATTTCCCCCGACAGTTCAGTTGCAGGCACGGGATGCCATTAAATGTGCTTGTGTTAGCTTTGTGGCTAATCACGCTGAACTACAAAGCCCCCAGTGGGTGGACGCGAGGACAAAACCAACAAACAGAGCAACCCTTCAGTCTCTCAGTGACTATCAGAGCCACTTTCTCTGCTGATTACGCCAAACAGGCACACTTAGAGCAGACAAAACACTGCATGCCTGAGAAAACGTGCACACCTAACACACACACAGCAAACCATGTGTGATAAAAGTACACATTTGGATAGAGAAGTGAATACTGCATTGTTTGCTTAGCACACAGAATGGCAAATTTAGAAGTTTGCACATGTTTACAGTATGAAGAACCCCAAAAATGCATAACAACACACACACACACACGCACACCTGCACGCACACACAAAGCTTTCTCAGAGCGATCACTAATCTCTGCCCTCATCTCCTGTCCTGTGCAGCACTGCTTGTTTGGGTTTTGTCAGAAACAGCAGCTCTGGTTCGAAACGGAGACATAAAACAAACTGCTGATAGGCGGGACAAAAAGGCGTTTATATAACCTCCCCTGTTTGTTTACCGAACGTTCCCGCATGGCACACAGCGCAACCACGCTCCAATGACCTGAGGTAATTTTGTGAGGACCGTTAAGGCAGATTTACACTTCGAACTGTAACGCTCACGTGCAGCTAGAATAATACTTGCTGTAAAAAAAAGAAAAAAGAAATTAAGTAGTATTCTCCACCATTCTACATTCGAATGATTTATTGTAATTATCTTAGCATGCAGAGGAGGGTTTTTCTGCCCTGTCCTTTAAAGTCTGTTTCAGAGGATTTTTCATCCCACTGATGGAGGAAATCCTGATGAAAATACTCAGCGGAGCTACTTGGAATTTCTTGGCATGCAAACAGTCAGATTAAAAGATTGAAAGAGCTGTGGTCAATAAATCGTTTATCACCAGCTTCATGGCAAAAATGCTCGTATCAGCAATAAAAACACGCTCGAACGACCTCATTCATTTATCACGCAGAATACCGAACACGCTCGCTGTTTCATATCAGTTTATAAAAAATTAGCACTCTGGGTTTTTTCAGCTACATGTCTCAAGGGGATATAACTTTATCATTTCATGCTCCGCTTGACTGATTGATTAAAAGGATAATACGTGGACGCAGCAGTGCCCACTTCACTGGGGAGCAGCTGTTTCTTGGGGTCTTCTTTAACAGGATGGAAAGAGTGGAATGGGAGAGAACTTAAAGCGGAGCTGTGGATTTACCAGTCAATCTATGTTACTGCTATCACCTTTGACCACATGTTGTGGGTAGTGACAGAAAGAATTAGATTTTGGATAAAAGTTTTGGAAGTGAGGCTCATCTGAAGGCTTGGGCTCACCTTATCAGGTGGGGAGCTCAGTCATTCAGGAGGGAGTTTTTTGATCCACATAAAAAAAGCCAGCTGAGGTGGTTCCAGCATCTGGCTAGGATTGTCCAATTATAAGGACACAGTGGAGAGATTTTGCCTCCCAGGTGGTTTAGGAATGCCACCATGACCCCCCTGGAGAGCTGGAGGTGGTGGTTGGAGCCCACACCCGGATAAATAGATAGAAAAGGGATAGATGGAACCATGTAAAGTAAAGAATGGTTTAGTTTGTCAGATTTCCTTTAAAAAGTTTTATCCCTTTGCACCTTTGGACCTCTTCTAGCACTGCTAATATCTTTAGATCAGTCCCCAAACACCTGCATGTGCGCACCTGTGACGACTGTGGATCTCAAACTACTACAAAGAGGAAACCTTCTGTATCAGACTGGCCTAACTTTCACGTCACTGCCAATGAGAGCTTGGCTAGAATCCAGAGACCGAGTTTACAAAGGTTACAGTCTAAACCCTAAAAAGTGAGCATCAGATCAGGGATGATGCTCGCTTTTTCTGATATTCTGGTTGTGCACTAACAGAAAAACAAAAAACAAAACAGGAAGTAGAGCTTGAGGTGGAAGCTCTACTTCCATTTTCAAAGATGAAGATTATTACGTGGCTGAAGAAGACAATGAAGACGAATAAAATGAAGATGAAAATGAAGAAAAAGACAAAGAGTGTGAAGAAGACGAGGGTTGTGCCCTGCTAGGGTCAGATTGTTAAAGTAGAGTTCTACTTAAAGTCCTGAGACGTGTCAAGGAAGCCGTTTGCCAGAATGATGGCATCGTTTTCCAGCATGCTCATGAAAAATTCAGAAGGTTTCTGGGGTCAATCCAAGAATCTGCCCACCAGATTTGGCTTCCTACAAACTCATCTACTTCCTTTAAATGAAATTCAAGATGAGGGGTGGCGGTTTTGACGCACCACAAAGGGTTGCAAATACAGTGTAAGTGGTTTGTTGCAGTAAATTATCATTTGTTCTCTAATTTAATCATTTAAAGATCAAATGAACAAAATTTATCTCTTAAAATGATCCATTTAGTGAGAAGAAAATAAGTTTTTATTCGTGTACGGGCTACAGCTTTGATGTAGTACCACTGTTTATCTGTGTAAATGTCTCTGCTCACAGGCTGCAAAGGAAACTCTCACTTTCCTGTCAGGCATGGCTGATTGCAGCAGAGCAGGCGCTCGGCTTCAAAGTCGTCCGGCTGTGTTTGTTTGTGGAGATGGCCGTGATAGGAACTTGGCTTTGAAATGCTTAAGGTTGATCTCCAGCAAAAACATTGTCACTTCACACCTTCATCGACACACTCGCTCGCATCAACACCACCATTAAACCGCCGGTTGAACCGACATCTCCATCTCTTGCGTTTGTAATCACGCAGAGAGCGGCAGCCGGAGTCAGGAGCAGAGGAAGCAGGAGGGAATGAACGTGACCCCTCCTTTAGTCTGTTTTCTTAACACTACTGCCAACATGAAGGGAAACAAAGCTTGATTTCTCGAGAGCGAGTGAAAAACGAGTGCATGGCGTGTGACTACGTGGTCAGAAGAATCAAAACAAGTGAGACTAGCAACAGAAAAAAGATGTACGTGTGTGGAAAAAAAGAGAAGATGAATAGTGGTGTGATTAGCACTGGAATTGATAAAGGATTTAAAAACAACCAAAAACAGGCAGTAACCGGAGTTCGAGAACATTAACTTCTCTCCTCTTACCACGTGGTTGGTCCGGTCTCTGATGGGCTGGTATCCCGGCATGGGGACACACTGATCGGCGTGGCCGTTACAGAAGCAGCTCCCCTTCACTATCAGGTCGTAGATGGCGAAGTGTCGGGTGGGGAGGGGTTCGTGTGCGGAGGTGAGGTCTTTGGCCTGGCAGGGACACTTCTGATGCTTCAGCAGTCTGATCCGGATGTTGGTCACCTTCAGCTGCTGCTGGCCCTTCAGCCCGTAAGGATCCAGGGACTCCCACTTCGGAAGGGTTCGGTAGATCACCTGACATTTAGAAAGAGACAATCAAGGAAACAAAAAGAAAACAAAAATTAAATGAGCAAAAACACCAAAAAATGGAAATTCCTCTATTTACCCAGCTCACTGTGATCTAATGGAACTAAAAAGTCATTTTGTAAGACACACATCATTTAAATTACAGCAATGATTGACACGGGTTTACTTTTTTCATGCTACATCTAACTGGAGGAATGTGCTACTCATTGCCTGGGACGTCTTTCATGGAAAATGTCTTACAACTTATTTTACAGCTTCAAAGGTATACTCTTCCTATTTTATTAACCACTACAAACACATTAGAACAGATTTTAAAATACATTTTTACAGGCGTTTGTAGATTTTCAGGGTTTGATTGATTGCCAGCTGCAACTTTGTCTCCTTCCTTAAAGTCATGCATGCTCTGCTCTGCGGGTCTCATTAGGTGTATATACAGGAGATGAATGTCAGTGATGACAGCCCCAAAGCATAATGCCACCACCATGCTTTACAGTTGCTATAGTGTTCTTGGTTTGAAAGCCTCGCCTTTACTCCTCCAAACATACTTGCAACTTGCTAAGGGGCATTTAAAAAAAATACTCGTGAGGGGGTATGTTTATGTGTATTATTTGTGCACCTAATTGTTGTTTTCAGTTCAAAGACATCACTCAAAGCTCATAATTCCCATGAAAATGTATGCCCATGACGAGTGTATATAAATGTGGTTTTCAAGCCTCTTTGGTTCTTCAGGTGTATTTAGTTACAGAAGTGGATAAATTGATATCACTTATGTCACCACATCTGTTGCATTAAAGGGGTTTGTTTTGGTTTCATTTATGTACCAAACTTTGACCTTACACCCGGCCATTATTGGTCATGTCCTCACTTGGTAATGTGGGTTCTGTGCACTGCACCCCCCCTTTTACACTCTCTCGTCCATGGACATCCTTCAAATTGAAGATCCCTTTATGGGCTGCCATCTCCATGGCTACTGCTGCCACTGGCAACCATCGCCGCTGCTGTCGTCGAGGTGAAAAAGTTGCTGTTGGCCCCGACTCTCACTATGAAAGCAGCGTGTGAGTTTGCAGTGTGCCGAGCTGTCACTGATATCATTGTGTGAGTGGTGTGTGTTTGTGTGCAGCTGAGTGTTTTTCTTTGGTTCAAGAAAAACAACCCTGCTGCTTGCTGATTGGCTGGATGACTGGCGGAGAGTTTGATGGGAGGAGCACTATTAATTTCCCTGTTGTTGGAAAAGGTCACGAGGTCACAGCATTGTGGTCCGCAATTAAGAGAACACGACAAATAGGATGAGGGGCGCTGGTCCGCGGGAGAGCACGGAGAGCAGGGTCAGACAAAGGCGGGGATGGAGATGCAGCTCCACATAACTCAGAGCTGGACAAAAGCCTGCGACACCCTAGCGACACCACGGCAACACCAGCACACACACGCACCCACATCGACATGCACATAAACATATGCTGACAACACAAATCAGCGTCGCCTGGAGCTTTTACTACTGCTGCCCTGGAAAACAAATATTCACATTTATAGATATGCTGATGACACCCATGTTTATCTTAATCCATGATACACACAGAGATGAAGCCACAGTCTCCTCAGGTTTGTGTTGAAGATACATCCTAACAAGACAAAAAGGTTTGTGTTCAAGAACCCTTTCATATCATCCTTTATTGAATGGAATACCACGTGCCACTAGGCGACTCAAATTTGCAACCTCAAGCTCTGAACACAGCTCTGACATCTTATTACTGTTAAGTTAGCTGTTAAATTTGTTTCAGGCCCCAGTCATGCAGGCCTAGAGACTGGTTGGTTACCCTTTGGCAAGACCCGGTTGACAGAAAAAACAAAATTGTGTTGCTCAACCGGCTTGTGGGTGTTTACTTCCAGGTTTTGGTTACTAGTTGAATTAGGGAAGCGGCTTACTTACGGTAATGTTTTTGACTTGGGTTAATTGCTCACCTGTCAACTGTCATTTGGGTTTATACTTTGCTTTATCTTTTTTGGCTTACTTACACAGCACAGGGCCACCCATCCACATACTACATGAATGACCTATGAACATAATCAACCTTTTGTTTTTTAATAAATTTGCTTTGCATATATGAGCTGATACACGTTTTGTTCATTTGAGCTCTACATAAGTACAGCTGGCAGAAATATGAGTTTTCAAATAGTCAAAAAGACCAGAAGATATCGTTAAACCATGCATGTCTCACAAGATTCCTGTATCCAATATGACAGATTTTGAGGATAAGAAATATATTATTGAACTTGCATTCGCAGCAATGTGCCTGCACTGGCTGTTTTGGTCAGGGGGGGCAAACTGATGCGTAAATAACTTGGTTAGTCTGCATTAGTCTGCATGTAGACTGAGAGTCTTTGCACTTTGCAGGATATCAACTGTTAATACACTTATGGAAGCTGAAAGCCATGCTGAAACCTCATACCGCACTTGGGAAAGTTTTCCACCTGCCATTAAGCTATGTAACAAATTTCCGGCTCTGTGAGGCGGCAGGATCACTGAAAACCTTTCTTCCTGTTTCAGCCTGCAAAATAAAGTAAGCCTGCCTTTAATAGGCCTAATTCCATCAAAGCACTGTGGACTGTAATCTGGTAAACAGGCACAATGGGCATTGATGGAAGGAAAAAGACGGAGTAGGGGGGATGGGTGTCTAGCCAACAGTACCAACATCCATCAGAGCAACGGCACTTCCTTCCCAGCAGACAGAGGAGAGGGAGAGCCGACTGTAAGTGTTTATCTGAAAGGGCACGGATGAGTGTGTGTGCGCGCGCGCGTCGGCTGGTCTGCGTCCCTCTCTCTTCCCTAAGGAGGTCAGTCTGGACAACAAACACTCACATTCTTCCAGCCCAGCTGACCTCATAAATAAGACAAGCAGCCCTGAATACACTCTCTCTCTCTCTCTCTCTCTCACTCACACACACACACACACACACACACCTTTTCCACACATTACAGGTGAACACGAACAGCTTTCAACACATGAGATGACATGCTTTCATGTTTGCGGGTGAAAGAAGAGAAGAAGAGAGCTGAGCATACCTGCTGCCTGTAATCGCTCCCAGCTATGACCCCTCCTCCCCAAAATTCACCACAGCTCTCACTTATCTCATCACACAGCCTCAGACACTCACATGCAAGCAAAAGAAACACACCACAATCACACACATGCATACAATCAAACATCACTCGGCTGATGCGTCTGCTATTCATCTTGCTTTATGTTTTAGCGCGATGGCATTTTTACATTGACTTTTCTGTTTCTGAAGGAGGGTCGGTACTCTGTGAAGCCAAAAAAGTTTCATTCTGCAGAAATAATCTAAAACGGCAGTGGAATATTAATTTCTTTTGTCAATTTAAGTGCATTAAGTGCAACCAGAGTCCAATATGACATCTAAAAAGCTCCATAAAAGACAAGCGATGGCATGTCTGTTCAGCGGTCACTGATGGTGAGTTTATGTAAAGTTGATTAAAAAGTCATTCAAGTTATTCATTTCTTTGTAATAACAGCCATAATATGCAGCTGGACCCTCCTGAAAACAATAAGTAAACGTTCCAGTAAATGTTACAAAGCTCAAATTAAATAAAGGTGTTATTGAAGCCTTGGGAATTTACGTATAATCAGCGACGTGGTGTGGGCAAACCTTGGGGGTTCGGTCTATTCCAAAAAGTTCCCTGTGCCCCTCAGAGAGGCTGAGATGGTTTGGACATGTGCAGAGGAGGCATAATGGATCTACTGGACAAAGGATGCAAAGCGGTTGACCTCAGAGGACATTCATGGACGTAGTAAAGGAGGACATGGAGAGGGTTGGTGTGACAGAGGAGGATGTGAGGGACAGGGTGAGAGATAGATGATCCACTGTGGTGACCCCTAAAGAAGAAGGAGGTCAGGAATAAGTCACATCTTAGTGCATCCGTAGTGAAAGAGGACAAAACGATTCCCACACAAGCAAAGTGGCTGATGTTTTTCAAGCATACGTGAAAGTAGGACTTTTTAAAGAACCCTTCGTTATTAAAAAAGTAAAAGCAGAGTTCGTCACCTTTTTCAAATCAAAACTGGAAAAGAAATCCAAATCTGAAACTCTGCACTCATAGTTAGTTAGTATTTATGAGACAACAAGTGAGATTAGCATGGACTAAAGCTCTATATTCGTGCAGTACATACATAAATAAGGCTTGTTGTCATGTCGTGACCTTGACTGTCAGTAGAGATGATGTAGAAGCAAAAACCAAAAGGTGCACAGACGGTGTGAGCAGCTGAGCAGCAGCAGCTGGTCCGTCAGTGCACTACTTAACCTCTTTTAACCCCAGGGTCATCAGTGGAGAGGTTAAAGGGCAAACAGGTCATGCTCCTAGCACAGGTGGCTCACCCAAACAAGCCGGGGAGAAGCAGGAGACGGAAAACAAGCTGCTATTTTCACACCTTCACGCACAAAAGGACACGGAGAGGGGAAAGTAGACCTGAGCGCCTCACGGAAACACCTCAGAGTAGCAGGGAAGAGTCCACATTTCATATGAAAGCGCCACAGGGGAGCCCGGCACACCATCGGGTTTGGCATGTGCCTCAGCACACATCTGCAGAGCAGCTCCCGACACACACTGCTTCAATTAAACATCAATGGAGTGCAGGAAGCCCTCTCGTGCTACAGTCAAAGTACGCCTATTAAACACTCAATCATGCACTCGGGGAGCTTCCCCCACCTGGCTTTCCCTCTGCTCGGCGTGCTGTCTGTGCTGTGTGACTCTTGAATGTTGCGTGACTTACTGCAGAAAGATCTGACTTTGCTCCAACAGGAGGGGTTAAATGATGGAGAGGCTGCCCTTCAGGATTGGCTGTTAAGTAGCTCGCTTTACCTGTCACCCGTGACATCATTAGCACTTCATTCATGGAGGAAGAAAAAAGCTGCACGACGAGCAGGAAAGTCTGTCAGGCCTGCATCCGCGCTCCTTCCCACCTGCGCTAACCTGCTATCCGAGCAAGCTGGCGGTGTTTGGACTCTGAGGAAAGGTGGGAATTCGAGACCTGATACAAATCTGATCATAATAATAATAATGGATTGGATTTATATAGTGCTTTTCAAGGCACCCAAAGCGCTTTACAATGCCACTATTCATTCACACACTGGTGGAAGCAAGCTACAATTGTAGCCACAGCTGCCCTGGGGCAGACTGACAGAAGTGAGGCTGCCATATCACGCCATCAGCCCCTCTGGCCAACACCAGTAGGCGGTAGGGTAAAGTGTCTTGCCCAAGGACACAAGGACCAGGACAGAGAGCCTGGGGATTGAACCGGTGACCTTCCGGTTACAGATACGCTTCCCAACCTCCTGAGCCACAGTCGCCCTGTGTCTTGCCCAAAACTGCTTCCAGTTGTCATCAAAACTGCTTCCAGAAAGAAAGCAGGCCAGTCGAAGAACAGTAACAGTGCAGCCTTTAAACTTCAAACTGTTGCTGTTATCTACCTGTACCGTGCAGAATTTTACTTTTTTCTGCTTCAGGCTGTGCTTTTATGAGGTTTCCCTGATTGATTATTTTCCTCTTGAGGCTGTAATTATTATGATTTCAGAAGGAAAGGATCTACTCTCTAGGTCACCTTTGTACCTGCTGTGTATAAATTGGAGAGACCACCAGGTTGCTTATTTGTCAGGAACAACCAACAAAGAAAACTTTGGGTTTAAAAATGTGTTGGATTGTGTGTTTTAAGAACCAGACAAGACCACCAACAAGCCATAAAACCAAGGTCTCAGATTTACATTTTGACATCTAAGTCTCTGTGAAAGTCGTGATGAGGACTTTAACAGAAAACTCCACATAAACCAGTTGGTTCCCCTGTTGCAAGGAGACGTGTTGCCTTGGTGTTGACTCTGATTTACTGCAACTTGTTCTCAATCTGTCTGTGTTTAGAAATTTGTCTTATTTGCACGCTTTTGCCAGTCTGTGTGAGAGCTACCGTTTGGAGATGGGTTGCCTCCCACCAGAAGGAGTGTACAGTCTCAACCACCAAGTGACCGAGTAGTCAGTGCAACTACTTGTAACTGATCTCCCACAGCAAAAACCACCCACAAGGTTTTACTAGTCACAAGGAGGTTGCAATCCTGTTTTCATTCTTGCTTGTAGGCTTGTTAGGGCGATCGTGGCTCAAGAGTTGGGAGTTCGCCTTGTAATCGGAAGGTTGCCCGGTCAAGCGCCGGCTTGGACAGTCTCAGTCGTTGTGTCCTTGGGCAAGACACTTCACCCATTGCCTACTGGTGGTGGTCAGAGGGCCTGGTGGTGTCCGGCAGCCTCGCCTCTGTCAGTGCGCCCCAGGGTGGCTGTGGCTACAGTGTAGCTTGCCATCACCAGTGTGTGAATGGGTGGATGACTGGTTGTGTAAAGCGCTTTGGGGTCCTTAGGGACTAGAAAAGTGCTATACAAATACAGGCCATTTACCATTTGTAAACTGACTGCGGCAGGTGTTAAAATGGAAACACAAATGCTAAAACGTGTTGCCAAATATAATAATTTTCTCTTTTATATCCAATAAAATGTGGCGTGTAGCGGCTTTCATCTGGTGCACAATGTCCAGAAAAAGCAAAAACAAAATTTAATTCCAGTGAGTCCCATCTGTGCTGCTGCAATCTGAAACATTAAATTTTATCCATCACAGAGACTGTAAATCCCTCTGAGATCTGCTATGAAAATAAACCTCACACAACCTTTATTTTGACATATACTCCCAAACTGGACCCCAACCAGGTTAATCCTTTAACCACTTTAAAGGATTCTGCAGTCTGCTAGAAATGTAGCCCTGTTAATGTGATACAGGTGCAGTTTATGTTTTTTCCAAAGATTTATTTACTAGAAGGCTGTGAGCAGTAGACCCAGGCTGATAAAACTAAGAAGACATGGTCAGAGAGTCATTTCAGGACTCGGTGACTGAATTAAGAAAAGCAGCTGCATGTGAAAGGCACAAAGGAACCTTGGGTGCTGGTATCGATGTTACTTTGACACATCCCATCCACCTAAACACTGCAGCTCCAATTGTAAGACACTTCCCACCAGAAGTGAGCACATAACACAAGAAAGAGCCCAGGCCTCCAAAATCCTCAGATCCCAATTCAATCAAGCATCTGCAGTATGCACCAGAACGAGCCCAATCAACAGCCCTGCCCCCAACGGGACTCCACTGCCAGCGCCTCAGTGCCAGACCCACAGGAAACCCCCAAAGGTCCATGCCCTGACGTTTCAGAGCCATTTTGGCAGCACCTAAGGGGATTTTTTTTTCTATAAAAGCTCCAGTGTTAAGAGGAGATAAAAAAAAAAAAATACCCTGTCTTTGAATACTGTGTAAGAGATATGTTTGGCTTCTCTTCTTTCCATTGCCTTTATATGCTGGGATCCTGGACCTGGAGCATAGTCAGATGACACATTCTGGGGACAGGAACCAGTATTTTGGGGGTTTCTGGGACAGATCCAGGCCAAAATGTCCCATTTCATGCATTTGTTTAGAAAGCTAAACTGCAGTCAGATGACAGCTGATGGTTCGGAGATTCCCATTTGTCTCTAAACTGCTTTACTGATCCCTACAGATTCTGCATGCTCATATTCAGAGATTATATGCAAATTAACCCTGCTCGTCTCCATGCTTTGTGGGAATATGGAGCTAGAGTTGATTTGAAATATAATTCTTTATTTATGTTCAGTGTGACTGATGTCATAAAACCCCCTAAAGACTTGGAGCATCGCCTCACCTCTCCGCGGTTGCAGGGGTAGGCGCCTGAGTACTTGGACGTGCAGGTGGCGCCATCCTGGCCAATGCCTGCCTTTCCGTCTTCCAGCCTGAAGGCGGCGCTGCAGTTGGTGGCGTAGTACTGCATCATCCTCCAAGTTCTCCCGAAGTCCTGCGAGCGCTCCAGAGTCATGGCGGCAGGCCTAGGTGAGCGAAACACCAGGATGAGATGCGTGAAGTAGAACTCCGTCTCCAGGTCCAGCTGCACAGTCTCCGACTCCACATCTCCAGCCGACTGCCACCAGGTGTTCGGGTGACGGAAGGAGGAGTCGGACATGGCCCCGGCCAGATGGGACAGGTGGGGCAGGCCGGCGTTGCATTTGGTGCACTTGGCGGGGCTGCAGGCCAGGTTGGCGTCGGGGTCGGAGTAGAAGCAGTGGAGCTCGCTGCCGTTGTTGCCGCAGACGGTCTGCGTCAGCACCCTGCGACCCAAGGCGAGGTTCCCCATGCGGGGGTTGCAGGCGCGGTTCTCACAACGGGGGGCCACGCCCCCATTAAACACCACCTCAGACAGACCTGCAGGATGGAGAGAAGAAACTTTACTATGGACTCACATGACACCATCCTCAGTCACTTTAAAGGGTTACTCCACCCAAAAAAACTAACCCCAAAACAAAAGACCTTTACCAACACCTGGCCATGTAGGTGGGATTATTTGACTAAAATATTAAAAATAATGGTTCTCACACCTTCATTAAAAGTAAAATTTCTCTCCCGAGTCCAGTTTACTCTGCAGAAAAACAATATCAGCAGTTTCTTTGGGACTATTGGCAAAAGTAAAATGAGTTAAAGAGAAGGGGAAATACTTTAAAGACCAGATTAAATCCAACCGAAATTATCTGCTTGGGTAGATATCACCCAATAAAGAGATATCAGTCCATCTACAAAATTGGCCCTATTAGTGTAAAAAAAAAACAAAAAAAAAAAACAGAGCCTTGGATCATCTTGAAAGAAAATTAATATTTTTCTCAATTTTTCCAGTAAAACTAAACATTTTCCTATTATACTTAGATTTAAATATTCTGTTTGTCAAAAAGACACAATCTCTCTTTGTGGCAGTTTTTGTCCATTTGTGGTCTTTTTTTCTCACCACATTCTGGATAATTCGCAGCTCTTTCAGTGGTATATTTAACATCTTTGAGCCTCTTATGTCTGTATTTCTACCTGTTTTGCATCTCTTCCCGGTTTTATTGAGTTACTTTCACTTTTCCTGGACTCTCATTCGAACAGAAACCAAATAAAAACATAAAGTGTGAAACTAAAGCTGGGCTAAAGTTTTGTTTTCGGTGTCAGTGGACCAAAAATCAAACCAGCCAGAGAACAGCGAACAGACACACCTCATTCAGATATAGTCGAGTCTGAGAGTGAGTGGGGGAGCTGAGAAATGGGCTGTGTGTGTTTGTGTGTGTGTACACAAGTCAAGTGTTTTACCTCGATCGGAAATGTTATGCAAAAAGGATAATAGAGGCATTGTGCACCTGCCTGCCACGGAGCGCAGGCAGCGTGGACTCTGACACAGATAAAGTTTGGCAGCTCGGGGACGATGAGCAGCATTCAGACGCCTTCCAGACGCTCTACAACCCTAACCCTCCACCCACTCCACCCCTGCGGCCAAATGGTGTCATCCCCACTGTGGATTTATTACTTTAAAACCTGGAGCCCTCTGCTGCTTCTGTCATGTGCAAGACCTCACAGATAGGCTCACATTAAATTTTACAGGATGAATTATATTTGCACTTTTTATAGGTGGATTTTCTTTGTTAGGCGGTAGATCCATATGAATTATGTCACAGTGTTGATGGGGAGACAATAAATGGATGTAAAATAACAAAAAAATCGCAGGTTTTACAGGAAATTGAATATGCTTTAATCAGAAATAACTCAATTATTCAACTATAAATAACAATATCTGCTCTTTGAAAGTGAAACACTGAGGATGGGACACATCCTCTATTGTTCTCTTCCTTCCTGGAGGTTAATATGAAAGCTGATTATGATCATCTTTCAACATATGTGTGTTAATTATCTTAAACCTGAGCAGTGAGAGGTTAAATTGCCCCAAATTTCAAGGGAGTTCTGCATTGCTGCACTTGCCACGGAGACATTGTTGCCCCAGTGGCAACCCCCCTAATAATAATAATAATAATAATAATAATAATAATAATAAAAACACATCACACTGACCTGCATCTGAAAACACAGCCAGGCTGACCACGAACAAGAGAAACATATCTCCTCTGCTGTGGGAATAGTCCAAGATATGTGGGGGAGAAAAGCGAGCCAGAAAATCCGCTGGAGTTACTCAGAAATCAGGGAGCTCATCCACAGTGGCAAAGTTTAAAAAAACAAGGCAAGTGCGCAGGGTTCAGCTCCAGTGTGGACTTTCTCTTTCACTCAGCTGCGATCCAACAGGGCGATGATAACTCAGCCGTATGAAGGAACAGCATGATCCCGGACGGTGTGAGGTGTCCCGTAGAGAAAGGAGGAGGGCCGAGGAGGAGGACGATAAGTGAACGGGTCTGCCCGGCTCGTCTGCTGCTCCGGGACCTGCGGCGTGGTTCATCTCCCTGCGGTGATCTGCCTCTGAGGGCGCACGGAGACGCAGAGGAGGTGCGGTGACAGCGCTGTGCGCCAGCTCCGCCTCTCCCTCCGCATTTTTCCGCGACTTAAAGGAACATTCCAGTTTGTGCTCCCAGCCTCATCTTCGCACCAGCGGGGTCCCGGCACGAGGGCCCGGGACCACGCGGGGGGGACTTTATGAGGAGTTCAGGGAGTCCAAACTTCCTTTAAAGGCGCATTTCCTCACCTCTTGTCATGCAAATTTGGATGCTCATATTAAATATATGACTTTCAATTAATGACTAGCATCTCAAATGCACTCCAACCTAAGAAAACACCAGCAAGTCGAAAAATAAAACACAACGGAAAAAGAAAAAAGTCACCAAGGCTAAGATGAAAGAAAACTGAAGTGATTTAGTGATTGTGGAGAGACAAAAAACAACAACAAAACAACAACAACAAAAAAAACCGTGACTGACGCTGTGGGAGTTTCAAGCTAACTGTAAACGGCTAATAGCAAACATGTACAGTATAACACGAGTCATGTGATGACAAAACACGCATTACCTGCGTTGTTTTTCATCGGGGGTGTTTATAAGCTTTCGTAACAACTGTGCATTACAGTATGTAAAAGAAATCCTTGTGAGCCACCAGAGCTAAACCAGGGGTTCAAATATCTGGGCCAAACCCAACCTAGCAGAGGGTCCAGGATGCCCCAATAGATGACTGGAAGCTGAAAACTGCAGTAAACTAAAAATATGTGGCTTCTTTTGTGTTTTATTTAGTTCATTGTTTCAGGTCAACTACCCAACAATGTATATTTTACAGTTTTAACCTCTGAAACTGTGTTTTCAGTGTTCACATCTCTTTATGAAGACCTACCTTACTGCTTCCGTTGGTGGTGGTGTTGAGAGGGTATGTAGCACCCAAGTGCTGATCAAATGCATTTGATTAACCAATTGTCAACAAATCTGAAAAGTCCTTCGTAACAATGGAAGACAAAACAATTATTTCAAGTTATTGCTGCTAAAGGTGGTTCCACAAGCTGCTGAATCATGGAATGTACTTATTTTCTCACAGGACTGTGATGGGGCAACAACTGCCAGTAAAAAAGGATTATATGTTCAAGAGAGCTAAAAGGAAAACAAATAGTTTTACATTTGGCAAGACTTACAAAATGACAGTGGGAAACTATTTGGGCACAGAGGGAATCACAACTAGAAGATCAGTCCAGGATCAAATTGTAGGCACAAAAAAGAAAAGCTTTCATATGCTGTAATTTGCTTTGAACAGGCACCATTCTGAAACAGAGTTAAGAAACTTGAAATTTTACCCACAATGCAAAGTTCTCTATAGTGAATCATCAGAAATCAGATGAAAGTGGGGTGTTGCTGTGCATCACTGGCTTCAGACTGCAGGGATGTAAGACATGATCTGATTTTGGTTTGACGCTGTGACACTTTGAAGTGAGTTTGATGATTGCCCACCACTGGTCCTGACAGGGTTTGGACCCCCTGAGGGGACCACATAGACCCTGATGATGAACGGACCACATGAGTGCTCGTATCCACATTTCTGACTAATTGGCTTTGGATGCAGAAGCTGCGTGAGCTGCTAAGGCACTTCAAATTACACCCTCTGGTTGCTCTGCCGACCACGAGCCTTTGTAGACGACATCGCCAGTGTCCATAGAAAACCAGTGAAAGATCCAGTTAAATACTCATCCTGCTTTCCACATCATTGCTGTCCATAAAAAGAAGAGGGGAAAGCCCCCAGCTTCCAGCCAGAAGGAGTGGCTTCAACAGAGTGCAGGCTGCAGGGCGCCTCCCTGTGTTCAGCAGAGGTAGAATGCCGATTTCCTCTCAGGCCCATTTGGCTTAAGCTCGACTGAACCCAGCACGGCTCTGGCTTCTCTGTCTGCGGTGTAATCGGACCGTGACCTGCTTTCTAAGCACCTGACCCTTGTCCAATAAGCAGTGAGCCAAGTTAAACTATCTCACCTGTTCACTTTGTTCTGCCTGTCCTGGTTCAGTCACCGCCCGCCTGGCTCTTTGTGGAGGAGAAAACTTTGTTCTTTTCTCACGGTTTTAAACAGTTTCCAGGATTTAGCTCCATAAAGACAAGAGAGGTGTTTTCATCTTCTCAGCTTTTTGGCAGAAAAGTCAATGAACAAGTCTCCAATAATGCTCTGTGGTCTTCTTAAAGCTCTTTGTGGTCACTTTACATCTATTTAGGGCAGTTTCTGTTTAAAGTCATTTTATCATCTCCATTGTTGTTTTTGGGTCAGTTTTGGAGCTCTTTGTGTTGGTTTTTCTTAGTTTGTGCTCATCTTTCACTCTTTTTGTTGTATTTCTGGGTGTCTTTCAGGTTATTTTTTAATCTAGTCATGTTGTGTGTCTTTCTAGTATGTTTTCCACCACCAGCGCCACCAGTGACCAATGGATGTGTTGGTTACACTGGAGGAAGATCATAACTTAAATTATTTAAGGGTTTGACAATTTTATTTAAATAAAGCTAAATTTGTAAGAAACTGAAGTTTTGATAAATGTTTAAATTGCTGAGGAGCTTATAGGAGTGTCATTAGTGTCTGCAGGTATTCAGACACAAGCCAAAATGTTTTAGTGTTGCCTCCTCCCTCGCCTCCATCTGTGAGCCCTTTACTGAGCCCCCACTCAGTGTTCACATTTGTCATCTTTTACTTATCATTTTTTGATAGTTTGTAGTCTTATACTACTTTTCCATCTCTGTGGCACTTCAAAAACTTTTATAGTCTAGTTTGAATGCCTTTATCCATCCATCCATCCATGCTCTTCCATTTAGCCTTATGATGATCACAGGGGGCTGGAGCCTATCACAGCAACCATAGGGCAAGAGTTAGGGTACACCCTGGACAGGTCACCAGCCTGACGCAGTGTTAACACATCCCTTTTTTTTTTACTAATTTTTCATGTTTTGTGGCAGTTTTGAACCTCTTTTGCTGCTTTGAAGTCATTATTTTAAATCTCTCTGCAGTAAGGATGCAAAAAGCAGAGGTAATGAAGGCAGATGAGTCTAAATACCTGGGTTAAACCAGTGAAATCAACAGACAAGTGCACAAATAAGGTAAAGAAGAGAGTCCAGGCAGGGTGGAGTGGGTGGAGACGGGTGTCAGGGGTGATTTGTGATAGAAGGATTGCAACAAGTGTGAAAGGGAAGGTTTACAAGATAGTACAGATGCTACAATGTACAGTTTGGAAATGGTGGCCAAGCTGAAAATGTTACGGTTTGCTATGGGAGTGACCAGGATGGACAAGCTTTCCTATTTTAACATATTTTGCTAGTAATTTTTGGATTTCTAGCCATTTTTATTCTCTCTCTGCCACATATTTCCTTCATGCTATAAAACACACAGAAACTGACTGACGGGTCGGTTAATTACACAGAGGGCGGCTAATAGGCTAAAATGATGTAAGGACACGAGCATTTCAAATATGCAAATAAAGCTCTGCTGCAATTTCAGAGGAATTTCTGGACAATCACAGCCTCTAACAGCAGGAAGTCAGGTGTTAGTTTCATTCATCGCATCAGGTTTGAACTTGTCAGATACTTCAGAAACTGTTCAACGCTTCAGCGCAGAAAAAATGTGAGCGCGTCAGACTGTTTGTGCCTGGAGTGAAATTGCTGCTCAGACTTACAGCCGGCCGACTCGGTTATTACAGTTATTTAACTTTTTGCCCCCAAAGAGGCCACAGGGTTCAACTAGTGAGCAGTTTGTGAGTGAGGGGCATGTCAAAGTGACATAAGTAGAGCAGGTGTTGCACCTACAGGATATGTCATTATCCATCTGCCTTCAGTTCAGCTGAGGGCAGGTGGAGGCACCGACAGTGATGCTTTTATTTGCTTTGAACAGTAATCAGATCACAATTTAACTTTTAAGTATATTATCACGAGGCAAAATAACTTTAGTTGTCATTTTTATGTGTTTGGGATCATTGTCATGTTGGAACACTGAGTTATGTTTAATTTTCAATCATTTAGTTGTTAATTTGAGCTGAGTTGAAGTTTATTGAGGTATTCATGCTAAATTACAATGTACCAGAACACTGGCAGCAAAACAGCCCCAGAGCATGATGCTACCACTGCCATGCCTGACAGCTGGTACAGGGTTCTTAGGTTTGATAGCCTGACCTTCACTCCTCCAAACATTCCTCTTGTCATTGTGGCCATTTAGCTTGATCGCTGTCTCATGTGACCATAAAACCTGCTTCAGAAGGCATTTGTCATGTCTGTGTCGAAAGCTGCAAATTTCATTCAAGCTTGAAGGTGTCAGTTTTGGAGGGGGGGGACTTCTTTCTTGGTCGATAGCTATGTAAAACTAGCTTCACTGGCTTTCGGGAGGAACCGTGCTGTTCTCTGGCAGGAAGCACCATGCCCTCCTGTGTTTTAAATGCACTTTAGAACAGCACGCAACAACACTACATATGAGCAGGTGGAGGGAGGTTTGAGGTCTTCACTCACCCCCGTTCTGTTAACCGTCGGGGCTGGGGGGCTGGGAGGAGGTGCTGGCCGTCGGATTGGGGTCTGGGATGCAGGGCCTCCCTGCTACTGCAGATAAGGAGGCGGCCTGCTTTCCTCCACCCCAGAGAGAAGGGTTACATTTCCTGATGATCCCATTGGTAAAGTAAATCCGCTTGGCATCTTTCTTGGCCTTCAGACAACAATCCTGATGGCTAAAGATCCAAACGGGACAGGCACAAAAAAACAAACAAAAACAAAAAAATGGCTTCACTGTGGACAGAGACGCAGGTGTCGAAGTTTCTAGTTCATGGCAGGCTTGAGCCTTAGTGGTTCCTGGGTTGTTCCTGAATGTCCCGACCAATTTTCTCTCATCTGAGAATGACAGTTGGGGTCTTCTTCAAGACCTCAAAGTGTTGACACATCCAAATGACGCATGCAAACTGATGATCTTTGAATGTGCAGTTGTTTACAAATGGCTCCGAAAAACCTTTGTAAATTGGGTAAATCTTCAAT